CATAAAAATCGAGAGGCTATAGGTACCGTGCCGGGAATCGAACCTGTCACCTTCAACTGGCGTGTGTGCCTCGCTATAGAATGACGTGTAACACAATGGAACCGACCAGTCAAATACCTTACTTAAATGTTAATGTATTCTAGACAAAGCATTACGGTCTACTGTGTTTGTAAATCGTTGCTGTGCTTGTTATTCGACCTAAGCTTGGTAATAGAAATTTCGGTAACCTATGGTGATATTTCAATGGTCTGAGATGAATTCTGTCCGTATTCTGTAGTTGTCGATTTCAAGCTGTACGACAGGCATGGTCAGTGAAGACACATGGGGGGGGGGGGGGGGGAGGAGGTGAAAGGTTGGTCATGTTCCTAATGAAGTTGTTCCCATAGTGAGGCGCACACGCTGTTTTGAGGTGACGGGTTCGATTACCGACACGGTAACTGTAGCTTTCGATTTTTATGTTGTCTAGTGTCATCTATCTTTCTACTTTTTTTTTCTGCGAGTTCCGATCAATACGTCTGTCTTTTTGTAATGTTTCTACGGCCTCAAGTGTTCTGTCTCTGTGTATTTATGCAGATTAGTGAGGGTGATTTGTCAAGTGACCCGGATTTTTCTAAAGGCCTGGAAACAATTGATTGGTTGAGATTTGTTGTTACCTTGCCTTGCTATTGCCACCTGTGACACCCACACAAGGAAATGACCGGGGGGATCAGCCAGGCGTGTCCAGGACATACTAATGGTGAAACAGTGCACCAGCTCACACCTGCATGCCAGTGTTTTAGTTGGCTGCCTTCAGAAACTTTCTACCGGCTACCCTCCCATTATACTGTTTTTATATTCTGTTTGCTCCACTATCATCATCATCATCAAAACCACTTCTTCCGTTAAGCGCTGTGGGGAGGAGTAATTTGCAATCCAGTGCACGCTGCCTATTTTCATGCCAGGAAGGCGTAGAGTGTCTTTAATGTGAAGCTGATCTTCTAAGATGTAGTTCCTGTGATGGAATTTGATCTTGCTGCATTCTAACAGATGGCCAAACCATTTGATCTGCTGTTTCTCGGTGAATCTAGTGCAAGGTGTCGTTCCCACAATTTGTATGAAAGTATCAGTATTCGTTCGATCTTGAATGGTGAGTTTGGTGGCTTTTCTCAGGCATCTCATCTCTGTGTTTGATAGTAAATTTAAAAAGATTCTTCCCTGAGGTAGTGGCGACAACAAGCATTTAAGTCTGTCAACAGATACATTATATTCTTGATGTTATATACATTTTAGCTGTAATGTGTGTTAAGGTCGCTGTGGTGTACCGGCTAAAACGCTCACTTGCGGATCCGAAGGTTTGGTTTCAAACCCGCATAGACCCGGATTCTTGTTCAAACGTGACATCTCAGGTCGGCCCAGTCTTAAATATGTAACCTCGATGCAACAGACGCTGATAGAAGAGTCTATACTCTAACATTGGTACAATAGACGCTAAGAGAAAACTCCGTATTCTGTATTATAACCTGGGTACAACAGACAAGGAGAGAAAAGTCTACTCTCAAATCCTTTTCAAATCTCAGAGGATCTTCACAATAATGTACTGGAGTCGTACCATAGTCCGTGCGACATAACCATTGTACAGTCACTTGCCATATGTAAGCTACATCAGGTAGGCTGTGCTTCAACCGGGTGTCCTGTCCCAAGAGGATAATAATATCTGGAATACATCAACAAATATCAGTATAGATACAAAAAGGTGGTGATGACTGCACACTCAAATGGCGCGGAGAGGACATTGCGTGACAAGAGACCCTTGAAAACACCGAGACCCATGTTTACAGAGCAGTCTTTCCACACAAGCTGGTCTCTCGAGAACAGCCCTCGACAATTGGCTCAGTGATCTGTGACGATCCTGCCCGACTGGCGCAGATCAAGACGAGAGATTCCCGCTGAGAGCACCGCAGACCGGCTTTGTAGATGAAAACCCAGGACCCCGGTGTGGGGTCGGTGCTGGTGTGAATGCCGCCCCATTGTTTCCGCTTCACCGACAGCTCCATCGTGTGGCTCTCAGCTCTTGACTTAAGTGAGTGCCCGCCTGAAATCAGCTCCGCCGCCCAGCCATTTGCCTTGCTCCATTACTCCAGTACAACGCTGACATAAATGAACGCCTGTAGACTGGAATTTTGACGGGAGAGTCCGACCAGGCAGGTCCATAAATACCCGACCGTTGTCGGGGCGTACATTAGCGGTTCTATGCGGAAACTCAGGGGCTTTCGAGGCATCTCTGGCACCGGCACGCCACGCAGGACAACATGAAGTAGAAATTAACAACACCAGTCAGAAGTGAAGCAGCCACAACGTGTTGACAGAAGCTAGATCACGAATAGAATTTTTCCTTTTACTACAACCAACATGATCACCACCATCATCGTTATCATTATCATCATCGGTATCATCATAAACATCAAGCATGAAAGCTCTGTAGGTTGATCACGAAGCTACCTCACCATTTAATCCCATAGTGTTCGTCCTCTCCATTGTGTTGTTAGCGTTGGGAGTCTGTGCCTGTATGTTTGATAAATGTTGCCCTTTGCCTACCCCGTTCCTCTGTGCCTAGTTTTGTCCCTTTCTTTGCTACTCAGTCTGTCTCCCTTAGTCTTTATCTCTCCTCTCTCTCTCTCTCTCTCTCTCTCTCTCTCTCTCTCTCTCTCTCTCTCTCTCTCTCTCTCTCTCTCTCTCTCTCTCTCTCTCTCTCTCTCTCTCTTCTTTTGTCTTCGTTATCACTCCCCTCTGTATATTTTTCATTTTTTTTTCATCTTTCTCCTCTCTCCCTCTCTCTCTCTCTAATTTTTCTTCGTGTCATATCATTCTTCTCTTGTTTGTTCCTGTCGTTGAGAGGTTTCAGCGGCATAAGGTCGGGGTTATAGGACAGTTAAAGGAGACTTATGTAAGAGTGGGGAGAATGTAATGAAAATAGGAGTGGGGAGAATAGATTGGAGGTAGGGGTGGGGAGAATAGATTGGAGGTAGGAGTGTAGAGAAAAGATTAGAGGTAGGAGTGGGAAGAATTGACTGGAGGTAGGAGTGGAGAGAATCGACTGGAGGTAGGAGTGGAGAGAATTGACTGGAGGTAGGAGTGGAGAGAATTGACTGGAGGTAGGAGTGGAGAGAATTGACTGGAGGTAGGAGTGGAGAGAATTGACTGGAGGTAGGAGTGGAGAGAATTGACTGGAGGTAGGAGTGGGGAGAACTGACTGAAGGTAGGAGTGGAGAGAATTGTCTGGAGGTAGGAGTGGGGAGAATTGACTGGAGGTAGGAGTGGGGAGAATGGCCTGAAGGCAGGGGTGGGACAAATGGACTGGAGGTTGGGTTGGGGAGAATGAACTGGAGGGAGGGGTAGAACAAACAGAAGAGATGATAAGTGAAATGTGTTTTTTTTTTTAAATTTAAAAGTGGGTGGGGGAAGACAAGGCTGTCATAAAAAACGAGGTAAAAGAGACAAACAGAGAGCAGGCAAAGGCAACAGAAACAACCAAAAGTGACAAGAGAAGTGAGGATATAAGAAGACGGAGAGAGAATATGGTCAGTATGAGTGTGCTATCGTCGTTTCATGTTGATCTAATCTACTCTCCTTTAAAAACGCGCGATGATGTACTCGCTACATGTACCCAACCTCACCACCAACACCCGCAGCATCTTCACCATCTCATTCGTCTGTGGAAAAATACATTTAAATTCTCTGATCAACCCCCCCCCCCCCCAAAAAAAAAAAAAAAACATCTTCTTTCCCTACCTACCTCAACAACAAAAACAAGAAAGCAATAAAAACAGACGTAATAATTTTGATAATGAATATATGCACAACAACCTCGCTTTTTTTTTTTTTTTTTGTATTGTCCCACAATTGTGTATATATTTTACAATGTTCTGTTGACAACAGTGTTTTGAAGCGATTGTTTGTGTGATTTTGTGTCTGTCCGACCGACCGACTGTCTCCACCTCATGATAACACAAGATGTAAACAACGTTCGGTTCTTTCCCACCGGTACGTTGGCCAGGTTTCGGCGCTCTGTGCGGCTACGGTCGAGGTATCAGCAGGCAATATTGTTTTCCGCAGCTCGAGTTTGGCTTTGGAGGTTTACAGAATCAGTGGTCCGTCTTGTTTATTAGATCTGGTGTTGGTCTCTTTCTCTCTCTTCTATCTTTCTCTCTTTCTCTCTCTCTCTCTCTCTCTCTCTCTCTCTCTCTCTCTCTCTCTCTCTCTCTCTCTCTCTCTCTCTCTCTCTTCTCTCAGGATATATTTTTGCGTTTGTGTCCCATCTTGTTTGTTAGATATAGTGTTGGTGTGTCTAAAAAAAAAAATTAGATCATGTTTAACCCTTCTCGTTAAAATCTCGTCAGTACTACCTCCATACAGCAGTTGTTGTTTACTTTCTCACAAACACTCCCTATGGAGAATAGGCAGGAGTGTGAAGCCGGACTAAAGACAGACGCGTTAATGTACGAGCATACCGGCGGGTTTTTGCACGAGAAACTAGAATTGGGTGACGGAGGGTGTCAGTATGAGGGTGTCAGTAAGAGGGTGTCAGTATGAGGGTGTCAGTATGAGGGTGTCAGTAAGAGGGTGTCAGTATGAGGGTGTCAGTATCACAGAAACAGTCAGGTATCAGTAGAATATGTCAATGGTAGAAATACCAGTAGCGTGAAGACCCTTTTCCACAACTATAGACGCATTGGGAGCATAATCATAGACCTATATTTTATAAACAAATCTGTACTAGGTGAGTAATGTGGTCAACACAGAGCCGACGGCCTTTATTTCCCAACACTTTATAAGGTATCTATTTAAAACTGTGTGGACATTGGGGAGGGAGGGAGGGACGGAAGCTGTCCATCTCCGAGCGGATTTGAACCCACGATCCACGATCATTGATCAATTTTGATGTTTGAACCAATCAGATAATGACAGATGTGAGTATCCCTCCATTGACATAATACACTAACAACTATGTTTCTCTTCGACAGGTCAACCGCCCGTTGACGATGAAAAAGGACGGCATCCAAACCCGCAACCGGAAGATGTCCACCAAGAGCAAGAAGGTGAAGAAAGGGATGGTGGCCATGTCTGACTTCCTTCGCGACAACAAATCTTTCCAAGGATTCGGCGCCCCTTCCTTCAGTCCATCCATGCACTCTATGAACCCCTACATGAATCACATGGGAGGTCAGGCGCTGGCCGGCGGCTATCATCACTCCCAGATGGGAGGAGGCCTCAGTGGCGGTCTTCCGGGAGGTCTGGGAGGCAGCTTCTCCAACAACTTCACAAATTCTCTTCAGTCGCCGCAGTTCGCCTCCTCGCTGCAGTCCGCCTCGTTCTCATCATCGCTACAGTCGCCATCTTTCGCCTCTTCCTTGCAGTCGCCCTCGTTCGCCACATCATACGGACCTATCGCCAGTATCCCGTCTGGAGGTTTGAACCTGACGACGTCCAACATGGTGGGCGCCATGGCCTGACAGGGTCCCTGGTCACTTGGCCAGTGGTAACACTTCACCCTTGACCTTCAACACAATGGCAGCCATCGATAACTGCCCAAACAAAAAAGACAATCGGACTTTTTCTTTTGATCCAAAGTAAAAATGATCAACTTTGGAAACATGTAACAGCCAGTGTATGCTTATTTTTCGTCGAATTCATGATTTTATGAAATGCATACTTAACGATGACACATTTTGCTCCGCCACACTCGCTTTCGTGTTGGACTGGCCAGCACTTATGTCCATCACGAAGATTCGTCTCTGCTTCAATATGGGCAGGAGTTTCACAGCCAGCACACAGACAGACTGGATCCTTGTTCCATAAAACACGACCTTTCGCAGATACGATACTGGCCCTAGCGAGGGTGCCCACGGTAATAGAGCCGGCATTAAGCCCCTGGACAACATTGTGGACAGTTCTTTACGTGTCATTGAAAATACTGTATGCTAGACGACTAACTGATGTGTGAGTTGAGTTGATCAATACTGTTTGTGGTCTGATGACTTCTTGGACTGCCAAAGAAACTATCTAAGACTCTTTGAATGTTACATAATACCAGTTGTCACACAATAGTATCGATCATGGTCAATTGAGCAAGCAAAAAGTCCACTGAGTGATGTCGTTTTAAAAAAAGCATTTTATTCTGCTTCTTCTTTGTTCACGGGATGTAAGCCCAGCCAACAATTCCAGGTTTTTCGTCCATGTAGACTTTGGCTTTGTGCCAGGGCCTGAGTTCTGCGTGTACATCCGTTTTACTGGCCTTACTCTTCTGTAGCAAGAGCTCAGGCTGTGACGACTGTACCAGCGTGTCTAATTAACTCTTGCAGCTGTACGCCGGTATATTTAACTCATAGAACAAATTGTTACTTTACACTAGCAGCTGATCGAAGTCGCATAAGATCAGGCAGACTGATAGACAAATAGACATACTTACAGTGAGATGAGTTGGCAGGCAGGCACTCTAATAAAGCCAGAAAGAGTTTCGGGGAGAGACGGAGAGAGAGAGAGAGAGAGAGAGAGAGAGAGAGAGAGAGAGAGAGAGAGAGAGAGAGAGAGAGAGAGAGAGTTTTATAAATATATTTAGTTATCGAAGGGACTTAACTGGCATCGTAATTTCTACATCATATACAAAATCATAGGCAGCTCCCTGCACTGTTTATGTAGGCATACTGTTTATGTAGGCTGACTGTTTATGTAGGCATACCGCTGGTATGTACTGGCAAAAGAGGGTGATATTTTGACATAGACAGAACGCCTGCTAATATGAAGCTGCCAAGTACTGAGATAAAGCTGTTCTGTGTGGACATGAAACTATGGTGTATTTAAGCGAAGCTGTTGCGTGCTGATAATAAACTGACATGCAGTGATAAAAAGCTGTCTATTGGGATAAAGCTGTTCTAATTTAAAGTGCAGCTATTACGCAATGACATGAAGCTGTCACACAATGATACGAAGCTGTCATGCAATGACACGAAGCTGTCACGCAGTGACACGAAGCTGTCATGCAATGACACGAAGCTGTCATGCAAAGACACGAAGCTGTCATGCAAAGACACGAAGCTGTCATGCAAAGACACGAAGCTGTCACACAATGACACGAAGCTGTCAAGCAATGACACGAAGCTGTCATGCAAAGACATGAAGCTGTCACACAATGACACGAAGCTGTCATGCAAAGACATGAAGCTGTCACACAATGACACGAAGCTGTCATGCAAAGACATGAAGCTGTCACACAATGACACGAAGCTGTCAAGCAAAGACATGAAGCTGTCACACAATGACACGAAGCTGTCATGCAAAGACATGAAGCTGTCACACAATGACACGAAGCTGTCAAGCAATGACACGAAGCTATCATGCAATGACACGAAGCTGTCAAGCAAAGACACAAAGCTGTCATGTATTTAAAGCTGTTGTATATTAACATGATCAATTAGTTAGGTTTATTTTGCTGTTGTATCCTGAATTTTCTCTTTATTCTTCAAATAAATTCATTGTAATTCCTGAACCAGTTCTGTTGCTTTTCATTGACATTGTCTCAGATATCGCATCCAGTTACCATGTTTATGCCAAAAACAGGACAGTCATGATGCTTTAAAAATGCTTTGAGGTTTGCTTTCGGGGGCATGTAATATTTTTATTTTGTGATACAAAAATCTACATTTATTTATTTTATCTTTTTCTGGACCATGGCTATCACTCTCCAAAACCTGAATTCTGGTCCGAATTTCTGGTGAATTACGAACCACAGCCGTTCATTATCAATTGCGCACCAGTGTCGTCTGTACTCAGACTGGCCATTCGGCTGCAAGTCTCATATTTCAGGTGGCGATCTTAACTAGGCTTTATTTTTAGGACATGTCTTATGTTAAAAACATGAGTATCGCACTAGAGCTGGGGGCTGTGGGGGAAGGGGGTCATATTCTAGGGAAAACTCGGTATCTCGGTTTAGATATGAACAATATACCATTAACCTCGCCAGAACATAGGTAGTTATCATTTCCATCATTATCGTCACCGGTACATTATCGCCAGCCATAGCACCATAACAACCGCAGTCACGAAAAAGAACATCACTACACCCACCACCTCCATACTTATCACCTCACAATTATCACCCTCATAAATATCACCACCACCCACATCGCCACCACGATTTCTACCACACACAAATCACCACCAATCACCACCAGTCACCACACGTTTACATAATCTGCAGTCATCAAAGACGCCACTAAAATCATCGTCAACACAAACACATACGTTTTTTTTTTTTTGCGCTCAGATAACATCTTAGCGGCTGCAGAGGACACCATCATCATCAGCATCACCAACACCACTATCATCATCATCATCTCCTCTGCAGGCATGTACTGCGTGTTGAGGGGCTTGTTGCTGATCACAACCAGTGGGAGAGAATCTCGACCGTTTGCTAGTCCCCTTAGCGTGTCCTCTGAGCATCTGAAGCACAGAGTGAGGGAGGTATTTCAGTTTCCAGCCATGACGCTGTCAATGGGACAGTTCTCTTTAATGTTTACATTTGCTATAGTCCGTTCAGAAATTTATAAACGTGTTTGAAATCTATTTCACAAAAACTGTCTGTTAGATCGCAATCTTTTTTTTTTTTTTTAAATCAGTGATGCTGTCAATGGGACAGTTCTCTTAAGTGTTCACATCTTCTATAGTCCGTTCAAAAATTTATAAACATGTTTGAAATCTGTTTCATGAAAACTGTCTGTTAGATCGCAACTTTTTTTTTTTTAATGCAGCCATAAAATATCCATGTCTTTAAAATAGTGCTGTTCTTTAGTCCATAGCTGCTCAGTGATCTGCTAAAAAAAAAACAGTTCATTCGATCTTTTGGAACCATTGTAAATATGCAGAAAGAAATTTAAGATTTTAAAGTATAAGTAAAATGCCCTTCTTCACGCCTTCATACGCATTGGGCATATAGGGCTAGCCCTATATTTTATAGACCAATCAGCACTTGGTCGGCTAAGTGGTTAACATCACGCCGGCTGCATTTACTTTCCATGACTTTACCTGGTACCCACTCAAGGCTGGGTTGACCTTGTAGCCAAGGCTTTTTTTTTAATAGTCCGATTCCGTCAGGACTCGAACCCACGACCTTCCGATCCGCAGGCGAGCGTTTAGTCGCTAGACTACGGGAGATGGTACAATAAACATGGTAATTTCAAGTTCATAATTTTTTTCAAAGTCGTAATTCATAATTATTGATGCTCTATCCAGACCAAGCACAGTTCTGTTCCTTTCTCTGGGTCATGGATATCACAATATAAATGACCCATCTTAGACACACGGCATAAATGCTTGTACAGTAAAACGGTAATATTCTGCATAGTTTTACATTTGCACCTGAAACCAGTTATGAAATTTATGTCGATGTCAGTTTTGATCAGCCAACTACATAACCTCATGGCTGTCTGGAGTGCGTATACCAAATTTCATTACAATAGTTTCCTAAATATTAAAATCTATTCAAGTTCATAAATTCTTGAACGGCCTATTGGCAAATAGCATGTCTGCGGTTGCCTTTTTTTATCCACAGTATTCACAGAACTTTTTATCATTTTTTTCTCGCCCTTATTAGGATGAAATTTTTCGTTATTTGAAACCCTACTCTGGCTATTGCCAGGGGCCGCAATATAGAATGGCCATAAATATGGCCTAAAGACTGAACACGGATTCTGGGACCACTCCACGGTGATCCTCACCCACATGGTGGCACATTGTGTAATCGGGTGTTTATCGCTTGTGTGATGTCCTGGTGGGGTAGAAAGTCATAACTTTCCTGCAGCATCTCAGGTCAACATCCCGGAGTTTCCTGCGAACCCACTGCTATGTGATCCCTAACTGGCGTCTGCTTCTTTGCCGCAGGAAAGCTGCATGTCCTTGACATTGGGGTCTCGATTTATTGATTGGTGTTGTGCAATCTGCTCTTACGCTTTTCAACATTAGGTTGTGGTGGTCAGTCTTCCCCTCACCATCTTTATTCTATTTCTTCTTCTTCTACTCCTGTTCATTCTCTTTCTCCTCATTCGTCTCCTTCTCCTGCTTCTGCTTCTCTTTGTTCACTCTTCATTCTTCTTCTTCTTCTTCTTCTTCCTCTTCTTCTTCTTCTTCTTCTTCTTCCTCCTCTTCTTCTTCTTCTTCTTCTTCTTCTTCTTCTTCTTCTTCTTCTTCTTCTTCTTCTTCTTCTTCTTCTTCTTCTTCTTCTTCTTCTTCTTCTTCTTCTTCTTCTTCTTCTTCTTCTTCTTCTTCTTCTTCTTCTTCTTCTTCTTCTTCTTCTTCTTCTTCTTCTTCTTCTTCTTCTTCTTCTTCTTCTTCTTCTTCTTCTTCTTCTTCTTCTTCTTCTTCTTCTTCTTCCTATCCCTCTTCTTCTTCTTCTTCTTCTTCTTCTTCTTCTTCTTCTTCTTCTTCTTCTTCTTCTTCTTCTTCTTCTTCTTCTTCTTCT